TTCCTGCTGTCTGGGCCCCCACAATGGCACTGAGCAAGAGCCCAAGCAGACTAGGCTGGGCCCTTGGCAGGCTCTGGTGGAAACTACTGCTTCTCTCCCCAGAAAAATACAGTCCTACAGAATGTTCCATAAAGTGTCAAGAAACTGAGCCTCCCATTATGGTTCGGCTACGAGGTTGTTCCTGAGGGGTTCGCGTGTTGGGATCTGGTGTTGGGAGTGACTAGATCGTGATGAGGGGACCGTGGAGGCACTGGCCTTGTGGGTGGAAGATGCTGTCTGGTGAGGGAGCTGAGTGACGTCCAGCGCTCGTGAGAGGGCTGAGCTGCTTGCCGCTCTCTGCTCTCCCTCTGTGCACGCACCTGCCACGCCCTCTGCTTCTGTAAGTCCTGTTCCAGCCCCAGAACTGCGAGTCACTGAACCTCTATTTCTTTATAAATCACCCAGTCTTTGGTATTTCTGTTAACAACACAATAACAAACTAAGACAACTCTCAATGAACCCACGGACTTTCTGTGCTGTTAGTAGTTAAAATAAATAGTTTTAAATAGAATTTTAACTTTTCTTTATATATGTACTTATTTGTTGTGATTGTCAGGCCACCTGGTCAAGGACTCGAACTGCAGTCGGTCATGTGGGAATCTAGTGCCTTAACCACCATGCCACCTGCTAGGCCCATTATAACAAATATTAACAGCTGACATTTAATGCATATTCCTCTGCACCAAGCACATTTCTAAGTGTTTCGCAAGGGTTAACTCATTTAATCTTCCCGGGAACCCTTTGCGATAGGCATCCTCACCATCCCCATTTCACAGACGAAGGGAGCGAGGACAGACGAGGTGAGTAATCTGTCTGAGGTCCCACAGCTACTGAGGGGCAGAGGTGGCACACACACTCCAGCAGCCTGGCTCCAGAGCTGGGCTCTTAACCAGCAGAATACGGGGCCATACTTGGAGCGTAAATGAAACAGGCTGAGCAACTACGACGTCCCGAATGCTCTGGAGAGCACATTCTCAAATTCGATGGACATTGTGCCTTCCACATGCCAGACCTATCCACACACAGACGCTCATCCCAACCTCAAACAGTGCTGCTGGTCACTGTCCCCAATGCCCAGGTGGCTTTCGTAGAAATGGGCTGAGCCTGCCTTCTGACTTCGCATTCCTTGTACCACAGGTGGCTCCTCACGTGGGGGTGGGGGAGTGTTCTTTGTCACACACGTCATCTCCGCGGGACCAAAATGCTTTCCAGATAACTGGATGAAGTCCAGTTCAGTTGCTCAATCCACGGACCCTCACACTTGGCCACAGTGCAAGGCGATCCAGCACCTGGGGTTCGCCCTGACACTCTGCTTTAGCCAGCCAAGACGTCTTGGAAGACACACGCTCCCCACAGTTTGCACTCATGTCACATGCCCGAGTAGGGCGGGCCTTATAACAGCATCAGAGGTTAGGGTCAGCACACGGCAGAGTGACTCCCAAATGGTCAGCCACAGGTTACGTCCCAGACCTGGTGGCTTGAAATTCATGCCGGGCGTGTGCATGTGTACCCAAAATTCCCAGAGGAGAATGGAGGATAAGGGACTAAAGCTAGGCCATCCCCCCCAGGGAACTCACTTCTTACTCTTCCTTTTTCTGTCTCTCCAGTGAGCACACATGCCTAATGACAAAAACCTTTAAAAAATTAAAAAAGAAAAGTATATGTGTGTGTGTGTGTCCTGAAGGTGGTTGCTAAGAGCCCATGGCACTCACACACGTCAGAGCCTGGACGAGCACAGGCAGGGTGCGCGAGCAGCCCCACGGTACTCACAGTTTCACAGTTCAAGCATCGAGTTTCATTGGTGAGCGTTCCCTGAAAAATCTCGTGGACCCAGGTGAGTTCTGGCTTATTATTCTCCACAGGCTCATTCATGTTGCCGTTTTTTAACTTTCCGTTTTGCTTTTCCTGTTTCTTCTCTTCCTGCAGGATGTCCGCAATAGTGTTTAACAAATAATTTAAAAACTCGTGAGCATCCTGTTGCATGTAGTTATCAAAGAGATCTGGAAAGGAGAAGGTTGTTAGTCCAATCACTGGTGTCTGAAAAGCAAACGAACGTGCTTAGCTTTATACGCTAGCCTTCAAATGTTATACCGAAAGGGTGGGCAGTATAACATATAATTAACTTTATCTCTTCTATGCAGCTCTTTTCTTTTCTTTTCTGAGAAACTTTTGCTATAGGGTGAGTGCACTTGCCGGAGAGACAGAAAGCAAGAAATCACCCCACAGGGGGGAGGGGGGTGGCCACACCACAATCCCTTCTCCTCCATTCTCCTCTTGGGATTTTGGGCACACATGCATGCGCATCCAGCATCAGTTTTAAGCTGCTGGGTCCAGGACTCAAACCGTGGTTGACTACATGGGAGTCCAGCGATGTAACCATTACGCCATCAAATGGTACCTCTTCTATTCAGCTTTAATGGGTAAGTTCTAAAAGAATTTTTACTCATTTCCATTTTATACCACCAACCAAGGACTAATTTCATGTATTTCTCACTGAAACCTCACATAGAGGAAGTGACCAGACTTTTTATTTATTCTATAAAAGAAGAGAAGTTGCCTGGTAAGTTCCCTGATAAAAACATCCATAATATGACATGACCCCCAACGATTTATTACTCATTGGGTAATTTATGGAGACTGGGGTCTCTTCCCAAAGATCAGATTAACCCTGGACCAGGGTGGAAGTAGCTTAAATGAAACCCCTAAGGGAGATGAGGAGTGTGCATGAGTGTGTATCTGTCCGATGGTGCTCTGAAAACCAAATGCAGATGGTTCCGGAAGTCTCCTGCTGCTTCCTGCTGTAAGAACGCACAGTGGAGAGGTGAATGCGGCTGTAAACCACGCTCACGGCTAGACTGAGATGAGAGTGCTGTCCCTCCTCTGTGAAATCACTTTATTCTGGTACGTCTAAACTACAGCTTCAAAAACCAGCCATCAAACGAAGCGAGACTTTATCAAACAAGCACCTGATTAACTGTATGAGTGTGCTGGAGGAGGACGGACTCTGAAACTAGCACAACCGAAAATATCGAGTACTTCTGTAGTCATGAAAATTTCCAACACGAAATCCCTGGTATGTCTACCACCAGTTCCCCAAAGAAGAAACAAAAGAACCAGAAAAACCCAGTCATTTTCATCATACAAGGGCATCAACTTGATATCCTCCAATTGTCTTAAGCAAACAAAAACCAGAGGTATCATTTTTAAATAGCAGAGGCTCTGATTAGATACTATGCACTTACTTTAATCACTTACGGCAAGTGTATAAGATAGTGCTATTTCATTCAATTATTGCATCGACCTGTTTATTCCGAGGAGTGTCTCACTCAGAAGCTGCCAGGAACAGTCTTTTGTTTTGTTTTGTTTTCTTTCTTTCTTTCTTTCTTTCTTACTTTCTTTTTTTTTTTTTTTTTTTTTTTTGAGGGGGAGGGAGGGTTTTTTTTTCTTTTTTTTGAGAGAGAGAGAGAGTTTTTGCTATAGGGTGCATGTGCTCACTGGAAAGACAGAGGGACACAGAGAGACAGAAAACAAGAAGTTGGCCCCCAGGGGGGATGACCACGCCACAGTCCCTTCTCCTGTCAGGATTTTGGGCATGAACACACATGCACCTGGGGTGAGGTTTAAGCCACCAGGTCCAGGACTCGAACCACAGTCGAGTCTGTGGGAGTCCAGCGACATAACCATTACACCATCTGCTGGTCCCTGGAACAGTTTTTTCTTACAATAATCCTGCCCAGAATGGAGCAAATGAGTATCATTCTAAAGGGCATCATGGGAGCAACCTGTCGCACAGTGGTCCAGCCCGTGCAGGAGAAGGCAGAGCCCACATGGCCACACTGTTAGAATCCCAGCCCCAGTCTGCCAGCACGTGTCTGTGTGCCCAGAACCCTGACAGGCAGAGAAATGGAGGACAGCAACGTGGCGTGACCATGCCACATGGGATGCTTTCTCCCCCCCACCTCCCCACCTCCTCCCTCTCTCTCTCTGGGAAGCAAAAACAAATAAAATGGAATGATAAATGTGAATTTTATTTTAACAGAGATTTTTGCTATGGGGCACATGAGCTCACCAGAGAGAGAGAGAGAGACAGAAAGCAAGAAATCACCCCCCCTTTTTGCGGGGAAAAAATGGTCACTCTGCAATCCCTTCTCTCCCATTCTCCTCTTGGGATCTTGGGAATGCACGCACATGCGCCTGGCATTAGTTTTAGGTCGCCAAGTCTAGGGCTCGAACCACAGTCAACTAAGTGGGAGTCCAGCAACATAACCATTATGCCATCTGCTAGCCTCATAAATGTGAATTTTTAAGCACATCTCTTTTTTCTTTTTTAAATAATCATTTAATTTAATGTAAGTAATTTTTTTCTTTTTTTTTAAATAATCATTTAATTTAATGATTTAATTTAATGTAAGTAATTTTTTTTCTTTTTTTTTTTTTTTAATTTGACCAGAGAGAGAGGGAAAGTGAGAAAACAAGTCACTGAGTCTAGGATTCAAACCACAGTCAGCCATGTGGGAGTCCAGCGCCCCAAACACCATACCATCTGCCGTTCCCTTTAATCAAATTTTTAATCTGGTTGGGTTTTATACCTGTTAGGCAGAGAAGAAGTATCTTTCTTAAAAAATCCTAGTTGAGGGTCAGCTCTGTGGTAATAAGCTGCTTAAGGGAAGCCAGATCTCAATGGCAACCTCTGTTCGAATCCCCAGCCCAGACGGCCTGAAACACGCTGTGCACACGACCCAATGTCCAGGATCCAGGGGGCTGGCAGGCTGGGGGAGGGACCAGAGTGTGAGCAGACCCCGTGAACGGTGCTCTTCTCTCTCAGTGTCTCCCTTCCCTCTCTTTTTCTCCCTCTCCCTCTCTCACGTGTACATGCATGAACTCTATCATGAATAAAGAACAAAACGTTTAGGTCAGCCAATGGCGTGGTAGTGAGGGCGACTGGATCGCACATGGCCAAGTGTGCAGTTTGAGTCCCAGACCCATGTGTGCCCCAAACCCTGCTATGAGGGGGACAAGGAGGAGTAGGGATTGTGGCATAGCCTGCACTGTGGGGGGCGGGGAGGGTCTTTCTCCCTTTCTCTCTCTTCCTGTCTCTCTGGTAAGCACATGCATGCTCTGGGAAATTAAAAAAGAAAAAGAGAGAGGCCAGCTGTGATGTGGTGGTTAGGGTTGCTGGATCCCACGTGAACCCAGTAGCTTGAAAAACATGCCAGGCGCATGTGCTCACATGCCCGAAATCCTGAGAGGAGAGATGAAGAACGGATTGCAACGTGACGGTGCCCTGCGGGAGCATTTTCTCACTTCCCCTCTCCCTCTCTCTTCCTGTAAGTGCATGCAACTTCTGGCAAATTAAAAAAAAAACAAGTAGAAAAATAATTGAAAAGTTTAGGGACCGGAAGGTGATGTGGTGGTTAAAGTGCTGGATTCCCATATGGCTGACCACGGTTTGAGTCCCAGATTTGGCACCTTGCTTTCTCACTTTCCCTCTCTCTCTCTCTGGTCAAATTAAAAGTAAGAAGAAGGACACATAAGATTAAATAAATATTTTTTTTTAATGAATACAAGTTTAAATGATGTGTGAATAGCTGACCATACTTATTTTCCCACTTTAAAACAACAACAACAAAGAACAACTCCAGCTGACTCCGTGGTGCGGTGGTAACGCAGGACTCGAGCAATGCTGGGTCCACGTGTGGGTCACAGCTCCGCTCCCAGTCACCCTGTGCGTGCTGGTGTGCACACGCGTGCTTATGATCCAGGTGGGGGGGAAGGCGGAGGGAATCGTGGAGGGAGACCCTGTCCGGGTGCTGGCTTTATCTCTCTGTCTCTCTCTCTTATAAAAAGATAACTGAACTTTTTTTTTTTTTTGAGAGATTTTTACTGTAGGGCGCGTGCACTCGCCAGACAGACAGAGAGAGACATAGAGACAGAAAGCGAGAAATCACCCCCCAGGGGGGATGGTCACGCCGCAATCCCTTCTCCTCCATTCTCCTCTCGGGATCTTGGGCACGCACACACACGCGCCCGGCGTGAGTTTTAAGCCACCGGGTCCGGGACACGAACCGCGGTCGACTATGTGGGAGTCCAGGGACATAGCCATTACGCTAACTGCTGGTTCCCAAGATAACTGAACTTTCAAAAAAAAAAAGTGGAGAAACCCCAGCTCTGCATTATGAAGACACACAGAACAGTGACTTCTCCCTATTCCGGAGCCTTAAACGCCCAGCCCCACCACTCACCGTTCTCCTTCCTCAGCCGGGAGATGAACTTCTTTGGTGGGATGACGCCGACCTTCTTCTTCTGCGTGGCGATGCTGTGGAAGAGGTCCGCCAGGCACGTCAGCAGGTTTTCCTTCTTTTTCTGCTGGGCCTTGTATGCCAACACATTCTCCCGGAACGGCCGGCAGAAGTACAAGGCCTGGAGCACGGAGTTGCAGTAGCACGTGTTTCCAAACTGCCGAGGACAACGGGGCCTGAGTCACTGCCTGGAGGTAAGCCCCTCTGAGACAGGTGGGGGGAGAGGGGGGCCCAGGGACCAGCCCCGCCTGCCCTGCTTCAGCCTGCTGCGCACCGTAATAGAAAAACCGCTGGGCTGTCGGAAAAGTCGTGACACACACTTCTGTTTTTCTATGCAAAAATGTGTGAAGGCTTTTCTAACAACCTAACAGTTCACTATTCTCTGGGCTGGCCCCACGGGGGATAGTTAAACATGGTGCACTGGGGGCAGGACCCACATGGCTGGCTGTGGTTGGGCCCCGGCCCCAGCAGCCTGAAAAATACACCTGACATTTGCACACATGTGCACAAAATCCCAACAGGAGAAGACAGGGAGAAGAGACTGCGGCCTGACTGGGTTCCCTTGGGGGTGCTTTCTCCCTCTCTCTCACTCTCTCTCTTTTTTCTGTTTTTAAAGGGTTTTTGCTTTAGGGCACATGTGCTCACGGAGAGAGACAGATAGTGAGAGGGAGAGCAAGAAATAACCCCCCAGGGGGGATGGCCACGCCGCAATCCCTTCTCCTCCATTCTCCTCTCAGGATTTGAGGCACGCACACATGCCCGACACGAGTTTCGAACTGCCAGGTTGAGGACTCAAGCTACAGTCGGTCATGTGGAAGTCCACTGACACAACCGCTCCGCCAACTGCTGGCCCCTCCCTCTCTCCTTTCCTCTCTCTCTCCGGTGAGTATATGTGACCTCTGGAAATAAGAAAAGAAAAAGAAAACCAGGTAGCTGCTCTCAATGCCGTAACCATCTGATCAACAGGAAAATCAATAAAAATGTCCGTAATTCCGGTGCTTCTCCAGCCGAGAAAAATCTCTACAATGATAATAAGCACTCTGCCTTGATAAACACTCTAATGAGACCTTCTGGTGCTTTAAAAAAAAAAAAAAAAAGAGAAAAACTATCTGCATAATACAGAGATTCAGAAAAGCAGCTGGCTAAGTACAAGACGCCACATTGCAACACATCAAAATTCCCATGATGGGGAAAAGAAAAATCCAAACCTACAAGGAATCCGGGAACTGGAAACCACTGTCACTCAGCTGACAGCCCCAGCTGAATGGGGCTTGGCGGTAGCTCTTCCCTTCCAAGCGTCCAGGGCCCGTGCCTCAGACCACACTCCTCAGATGCATGGAGGCACACTCGCCTGCCTATACCACGCTCCCAGCCTCCAAATCCCCCTTGATCCTGTGTCTGCAATTATCCTGAAACAATACCACCCAAGTTCTGCCTCCTATAATCAGACTCGGGCCCACACGGCAGTATGTTATATCTCTCAGATCATGGAGACAGATTGTGATTAGAGAGAGAAAACGTCCTCTCCCCGGGGTTCACCTGACTAAGGGACCCACTCTGGGGAGAAGACAGCTAAGACTGCCACTTTCCAATTCCTCATGTGCAGTACAATGAAAAGGAAAAATGCTAAGGAAAAAAACAGAAAACAAAAACAAATGAATAACCCGGATTACAAAACACCATGCCAGACTGAAGCAGAAGAACACCTTCTCAAGTTGGTTGTCAGCTTGCGTGTCATTTACTCAAGAGCGACACAGATGCTCTGCCATACTCAACGTGACATTTCCACGTATGCTAAGAAAGAAGGCTTCCTATTTTTATATGTAATCTACACTGACACGATTATGTAACAGGAAACAAACCTGCTTTGTGCAGAGAACCTGGACCTCCCATAATCACACTCGCAGTAAACGTAAATGAAGCCATCGATAAACATCCATCTCACAGTTCTGCAAACTCGGACATGGCCTCAACTCTTGTCTCTGTGATCAGCATCTGTGTTTTCCCTAGGCAGGGCAGAACTCCCATGACGGGAGCGGCTGTCTCTGCAGAGCCCAGCAGGGCCAAGTTAACGCTCAAAGTCTATTCCACCAGCACAGTGCGCTATATCCCAGTCCTTCGGCTTCCTCCACCCTCCTTCCCTCAGACTTGGTCCCTGGCCCTCGGCCTGATACCCTCCAGTAATGCTGGCCCTGAACCCCTGGATGACTCCTGGGGAAGCAAAGGAATGAACATTAGCCAGGTCCACGGTCAACCCCAGCCTGAGGCCAGGGTCTTAGATTGGACCACTCATTTACCCTTCACTATATATAACCCTGAAGGGAGAACGCAGCATGGTCTCTCTCTCCCTCTTTTTCTTTTCTTTTCTTTTTTTTTTTTTTCAGGTTTTTGCCAGAAAGAGAGAAACAGTGAGACAGAAAGTGAGAAATCACCCGCCTAATGGGGAGGCCACAGCGCAGTCCCTTCTCCTCCATTCTTCTGGGGTTCGGGGCAGGCATGCACATGTGCCAGGCATGATCCTTAAGTCACCAGATCCGGGACTCACACCATGGCCAGCCATGTGGGAGTCCAGCACCTTAACCACCACGCCATCTGTTGGTTCCAACATGGTCTCATTTTACAGACAGGGAAATGGAGGCTCAGAGAGGGTGAATAACAAAGATCACACAGCCAGCGAGGGGCATGGACAGAGCCCGAGCTCTGTGTTACATGGAGCCCGTGGGCTGTCCCGGCGGCATTTACTTGTAGGGGTATTTACAGCAACCCCTGTAGTGCAAATGACTGTGATTACACGTGGCCACTCACAGACCAGAAACCAGGTGATTGTGTGTTAACCCTTAAACCCTCTCCTCAGAGAAAGCGGACCAGGGAGGACGGACGCTCAGGAGGATGGTGGCTAATGCGCCCTACCAACTGGTCATCAGCCTACCCAAGGAGCAGATCCTGCTGGGGTCACCACAAGAAAATGAAGCCAAGTTCTCACACGCACTGGTCCTAGTTTCTCCCCCGTGGCCCATCCCTGCTTCAAGAACCACCACTGAGCTAGGTGTTAACTGCTCACTGGTGATGAGCTAATACATTTAAAACTCACTGTATCAAGGCACACTGAAACAAAAAAAGCCTCGGAGTTTACCCAGAGGCTCAAGGGAGGATACATAAAAGTAGGTTTGGCAAATGGCCCATGGTCTAATGGCTAAGGAAGCCGGATCTCTTGTGGCTGGCCATGGTTCCAATGCTGGCTCTAGAGACTAGAAAAACACACCAGGTGCATATGTGTGGGTGCCTGCAATCCCAACACAGTAAGAGAAGCGGAGGAGAAGGAATTAAGGCATGACCATGCTCCACTGAGAATCATTTCTCTCCCTATTTTTTTTTCCCCAGAGAGATTTTTGCTACAGGGTGCATGAGCTTACCAAAGAAACAGAAAGACAAAGTAAGAAATCACTGCCCACCACCCCCCCCCACACACACCCCCAGAGTGGACGGTCACACTGCAATCTCTTCTCTCCCGGTCTCCTCTTAGGATTTGGGGCATGCATGCACACAAGACCACCATGAGTTTCAAGCCTCCAGGTCCAGGACTCGAACCGCAGTCAGCCATGTGGGAGTCTGGAGATGGAACCATTATGCCATCTGCTGGTCCCCTCTCCCTTTCTGTTTCTCTCTGGTGAGCTCACACACTCTCTGGCAAACAAAAACAAAATTCCTAGGCCAGCCAGTGGCATGGTGATTAAAGAGGCTGGAAAATACAACCAAAAACCTCACGTGGGTCGTTGTCGGGAAAGTCAAGGTGCATAGCTATCTGTAAGATCAAGTCCTGGACCCGGCAGCTTGAAAAACACGCCAGGCACGTGTGTGTATGGGCCCAAATTCCAGGGAGGAGAAAGTAGAAGGGACTGTGACATGATCGTTCCCCTCGGGAGATGGTCTCTCACTTTCCTTCTCTCTCTCTAGCGAGTGCACACACCCTATAGCAAAAATAAATAAATAAATTCCTTAAAGCGTGGGAATAAAAGGGGGATGTGAATTTGACCCAATAACGCAACAATTAAATCCTTTTTTTCTGAGACAAACCATATTTTCAAAAGTAGATTAAATTGCCCCTTCTCAACATTTGCCACTTCTACTTAAAGAGCATGAACAATTATTTAAAAATTAGTAATGGTGAAAAATGGAAATGGAGCTGCTTCAAATACTCTAAAATGTTTGATTAAAAAATAATAATAATAACACATTTTAAATACTTACATTGACCAATCCGAAGTAGTGTTCATTGATTGGAAACTGCTCTGGACCAATGTCTTTTTCCAGAGCAGAGGCATTGGTGCCCTAAAAGAGAAAAATAACGGAAGTTCTAGTGCATATAAAATAGACAGAAAAATAAAATGGCACTTATGGAAAGAGCATCTCCCCAGGTTGACAAGATGTTTGGTGCTGTTTGTACTAGGAAAAAAAAAAGGCGTCAGCAGTAAACGGGTAGATTGTTAGTAATGTCACCTCTACGACCCTCCTCTTCCTTCTTCATGCCCTCGAACCTGTTCCACTTGGCTTCCACTACCTTCGGAAAGGAGGCTCGAGATGGGCAATGAGCAAACCATCGCTAAGAACTGCTGAATAAAACATCGTTTCGGACAGTTGCAGTGGCATTTGTAATCGTTGTTGGCATATGGAATCATTTTAGCACTTTCAAAGTTGGTTTCTCTGTTCTGGGAAAGATTTACGGTGCACCCACTAAGCAGTCGCTGGTCTCCAGGTCTAGGCACTGACAATAACCGGGAACAGAACAAGCGGGATGGGATGCCCAGGTCCTGGAGCTCACAGTCCGGTGGACGAAGTCAGCCCGAGGTAAGAGCCAGTCTATGGGCAGTGTACTAGGAGGGGCTAGTGCAGAGGAACCGGACTAGGACGAGGGGTGGGGCTACAGAAGGAGGAGGCAGGAGGATTCCTATACCTTTAAATAATGTGGTCTAGCCGGTCAGCAAAGACAAAATGCCAAAGAGTACTGTGAATGGTGGGAAATTCAACTAAAACCTCATGTGGGGTCGTTGGGGAAGTCAAGGTGCATTTTCCCATAGAAAAACAGAGAAATATGTCCTGATTTTCCTGATGACCTAACAGTTCACCGATGCACCAAACTGGTAAGCCACATGACACTCCAACATGGTGATGTCACGGCTGCTGGGTCTTCCTACCATGTGCCAGAGGTTGTTATTTATTCTCACAACAATCCTTTCAGCTAGGTGATAAGACCCCCATTTAACAGAGAGGGAACCTAAGACACAGAAGAGCTGAAAAATCTGCCCAAGGTCCACAAGCAAGGGGGAGAGCTAGGATTTGAACCCACGAGTCAGACTCAGGAGCTCACGATCCTAACCACAGGCTGCACAGAGCAATCCTATTGGCTGAACCATATACTGAGCCCCTGTAAGTAAGGGTCCCTGGCAGCGGATGGTCACTGCTCCATAGATGAGTCTGCAGGGATCAGGCACCGTGGCCACGGCTCAGTCCAGTAAGGAGTGTGAGGACTAGGCAGGGCCGACCGCACTGGTTCCCCGGCCTCCGCATTATCACGTAATCATAGAGGACTCAAAGCTCATGGAAACCCACAGATTCAGAAGATGCATATTTTAGAAAGAAGAAAATGATGTGCTTCATAAGAACATAAATCTGTGGCTACTGTAATATTTTATATATATTAAACACGCTTCTCCTCTCACAGGAGAAAATGGCCCAAAAGTAGGCAGAACCAGTCAGCGTGGCCACTCTCCACCCAGCAAGCATTACATGCCAAGAAACCCAACTCTGAGCAGATGCAGCGACTGCCTTTACCACCCCCCTCGCCGTCTTCGCCCTGTCCACTGATCGGCGTTCCTTTAGCCACCCTCCCTGACTTTGCGTTCAGTGACCGCTTACACGTGGAACAGTTTCAGTGTCTTCTCCAAGGTGTGCGGCCTTCCCAATACTGTGCCCCATACACGATGCTGGCTTTTCTTTTCTTTTCTTTTCTTTTTTTTTCTTTTCTTTTCTTTTCTTTTCTTCTTCTTGATAATTGTAGGAACTTATTCACCTTGTATTTTGCTCAATCACTCCATTTGTGTTTGCCCATTTTCTTATCTCTGGATAAATATTTGATGTCATTAATAATGGCGATCGTGTAGTAATCGGAGAGAAATCAAATGGTTTCATGTCTCAGTAATTCCTAGATTTTTAAATATCTGCCTGCAAATATTAGAACATGGAGGAAAGGTTACGCTCTGTCAGTTTCGGATAATGAGATGGAAGCAAGTAGACTCGGATTCTAGTCCTGACTACGCTTCTAGTAGAACTCGTCGCACAGCCATGTTTAATTTCTTTGGCCCTCTGACCTTTACTAGTAAAATACAAACAACTGATTTGTAAGTCTCTGAAATCTGAAATTGCATGGCTTTAAGACCAATTTCCCTCTCAATGATCTTAAGTCTTTTTGGTATCAAACTCATTTCTTTCCCCACCTCAGGGCAGGTTATTTTGTTTGCTTGTTTGTTTGCTGTAGGACACATGCGCTCACCAGAAAGACAGAGACAGAGAGACAGAAAGTAAGAAATCACCCCCCAGGGGGGATGGCCATGCTGCAATCCCTTCTTCTCCATTCTTCTCTCGGGATCTTGGCCAGAAAGACAGAGAGAGACAGAGAGACAGAAAGCGAGAAATCACCCCCCAGGGGGGATGGTCACGCCGCAATCCCTTCTCCTCCATTCTCCTCTCATGGTCTTGGGTACACACGCACACACGCCCAGCTTGAGTTTAAGCCACCAGGTCCAAGACACAAATCGTAGTCAACTACATGGGAGTCCAGCGACATAGCCATCATGCCAACTGCTGGTCCCACAAGGCTGACTTTTTATTTATTTCATTTTTTAGAGAGATTTTTACAATACAGTGTATGCACTCACCAGAGAGACGGAGACAGAAAGCAAGAAATCACCCTCCAGGGAGGATGGCCATACCATAGTCCCTTCTCCTCTACTCTCTTCCTGGGATTCTGAGCATGCACGTACCCACCTGGCATGAGTTTTAAGCCACCGGGCCCAGGACTCAAACTGCGGTCGGCCATGTACAAGTCCAGCACCTTAACCACTATACCACCTGCTGGCCCGAGACTGACTTTTTATAGACAAAAACCACTAAAAATTCCAGTTGAGTTACAGCTCACTCACAAGTCGACGGAGACGATGGCTTGGCGCCCAGGAGGAGTATCAGACGTAACAGTGCAGCACGCAGAGCCAGCGCTCACGACATCTTTCCCCGAGGTAGCATTACATTCAAGTTCATCCACGAGTTCTGCCATTTGCAGATTCTTAGACTGAGCCTGCTTTATTTCGACCTAGCTTAGTACTGTCCCGTTAGGAGGGTGTAGGGCAGGAACGGGGGTGATGACTCCTATCAAGACCAGCATCCCTGGGGCAGGGGCGGGGACAGCCCGGCAGCACACAGGGAGCACGGTCACACAGCATGGGGAAGACCGTGAGCCAAGCTGGAGTGGAAGTGGGCTCTCTCCTGAGGGCCACACTCCCCACCAGCCTTCAGGGCAAGCAGCTCACTCTGCCCGGCTTGCACCGGGGACAGAAGAGTCAGGAGGGCCTGACCCTCCAGGCTGCTTCCACACCATGACACCTCTGCTGTCCAAGGCCACCTCCGCGAGGCCCAGGCCTCCTGGCCTTGTGCGAACCTTCTTCCCTGCTGGCTGAGTCCCCACTCACAGACCCGCCTCGCACCTGGGCTCTCACCATCCTCTTACTAGTTTCGACATCCACGTGGCTGGACAGGCCTCACGTGCCCAGCTCTCTCAGCAACTCCGTGTCCTACCTTCCAGCTGCCTTTTATTCCACTCCACCTTGGCTACTCACCCCCAGACACCCTGGGTCTACCACCTGAAATCCTCAGCTCCACTGCCCACGGTCTGCATGCATGGCTCTGCCGACCGGCTTCTCATTTGGCCACTCTTACACCTCGCTGGAACTTGCTTTTTAAAAATTTTATCAGAGGGGGACCAGCAGTTAGCGTAATGGCTATGTCGCTGGACTCCCATGTAGTCGACAGCGGTTCGAGTCGTGGACCCAGTGGCTTAAAACTCACGCCAGGAGCATGTGCATGCGTGCCCAAGATCCCTAGAGGAGAATGGAAGAGAAGGGATTGCGGCGTGGCCATCCCCTTGGGGGGTGATTTCTTGCTTTCTGTCTCTCTGTCTCTTTCTGTCTGGCGACCGCACATGCCCTATAGCAAAAACGTTTCCAAAAAAATTTTTATCAGAGGGCACAGGTGCTTGCTGGAGACAAAGAGAGAGCATCGCTTGTGGGGATGGCCATGCCACAATCCCTTCTCCATCCCCCTCTTGGGATTTTGGGCATGCACCTATTGTTCCTCAAGCCACGAGGTCTGGGACTTAAACCACACAACTGGTGGTCATGTGGGATCCAGCTGCCTTAACCATCAGACCTCCTCTCTGGAACTTTCACTCCCCTCATTCGACTGAGGTTATGAATCATGATTTCACTTGCTCTTCTAAATGCCCTTTACCCTGTCCTTTAGACACACCACCTGGCAAAAAACCAACCCAGTATGAACCGAAGTATCCCCCTTCCCAGAACATACCCCAACAGGTACGCCGTGCTAAGGGGAAAGCGTTCCAAGAATCAAGCAGCTGGACTCACTGGGGTCTCATTCCCAATCTGAGTGCACTCCTCCTGCACTCCGCAATGGCTCTTTTTTTTTTTTTTGAGAGGATTTTGCTACAGGGCATGTGCACCTGCCAGACAGACAGAGACAGACAGAGAGACAGAAAGCGAGAAATCACTCCCCCAGTAGATGGCCACACTGCAATTCCTTCTCCTTCATTCTCCTCTCAGGATCTTGGGCATGCACGCACATGCACCCAGCGTGAATTTAAGCCACCAGTCCAGGACTCGAACCACAGTCGACTACATGGGAGTCTAGTGACATAGCCATTATGCTAACTGCTGGTCCCCGCAATGGCTATTTCTAACCTTCCTCAGCTGCTCACAACCTCAACATCTCCTGACCCTTTTCAGTGGCCTCCACTCAATGGGGAAAAAAATCAACTAGCAGATGGGGATCCCCTTAACTCCACTCACAAGCCTACACGCGTCTCTCTGGCCGGAGCTGTCTCCGTCATCCAAGGCCAGCCCCTCCTCTGTTAGCATATCTTTCCCGTCAGAATTCAGACACGCTTCTGCATCTCCCGCATCAAAGGTCCATAACCCCATCTACGCCTCCCCAGTCGCTCCCACTCTCACTCCCCTTCACAGCTAAACTCCTTTAAAAACTCTCT